TCACGATGTGCACAAACATAAATTTAGGTATGTACGGTGGATAAAGACTTAAGTTTGTTCAAGGAAAGGAGAACAAGACAAACTGAAACGGCCAACACAGCCTTAAAGGGAAACGCACTTCTCTTCAATCAACACAGGCATGTGCTTCAGTGTCTCTAGATCTATCCGTAGCCCAGTGGGCTCATCGCTTTAAACACTACTCGTGGCCAAGATAGACGGTTTTCGTCGGTTTATGCGCAAAAGGGTTGTGACTTTAGGGTCTAGTTACAAGGAACAAAATGTAGCTAGATATACAGTGTTAAATGAAGGTACCATGAACGGGAAGTGATTGAGTACATCAAATTCCGAAAATTTGTGAACCGCATTGTCAGCACAGAGTGCCAGAATGTAGACACGAACACCAAATAGACGGGCAGCGGGAAAGTGTGCACTAACCTGCACAGTTCTATTGTCTGTGTCCAAAGCGGAGTGTAACATTGGAAGGACGTGTGTACGAAATTCGTTGGCTGGAAATTTCTCGACCAATACACGTAAGTTTTGCAGCAGCACCAAGGTGATCTGTTGTGAGGCATGCGGGAACAGGAGATATATGAAAATAATAAAACGGATGAAGGAGTGACTTGGAAAAAGGATAGAAACAAGTTAAACGGTATACACATTTATCGATCGCTCGTAGACGATTGAAATTCAATACATAGAAGTTATTAGTAAGAGTACCCGAGCGGTATCCGCCGCCAAAAAAGACTGACTGCCAAATTTTCATTTGGCAGAGGATTCAGGAACAGTAACATGAATTCCGGAAACTTACTACCGTTTGCTTAATCGACTTCTATGTCAGGTTTAAATCGGTCGACAGATATTTGCTATGTTCCGTAATACGAGCCGATGGACCGCTAGCAAAGCTCATCAAACTTCTATGGTTATCCATATCTCAGGGCCTATTCGCCCACGTAGAGAAAAATCGACGAAACGCAGAATGAACCGTAAAGCTCTATAAGGATTTCCACTCTCATTTTTGCCATTTATTACGAGTTCAGTTGGTTAATGAAACAAGCTCTCCACAACTTCCATGAAGTGCAACTTGTTTCGGACTTGTGCATGGTCTAAAAAGGAACCTAGAAAGTACTGTCCCATCGCCTGCACGTCAGTCATGCTCAAATTATTTGAGGAAACCTCGCTACTGTGGGTTGTCACTGAATCTGCGGAAGATAAGATACATCAGTTTGCGCGTTCTACGTTTGATACCGTTGCCTATCTTGTTCACTTAACACTTTCAGCTCTGGACAGGAAGTGTAAGACTGTCAGAATGGTATTCTTGGATCACAAAAACGCATTCGGTAGTCTTGATCGACTGGTATTGCCCAACCTCATTACGAAAAGTGGTGTTACTCCGAACGTCTACAGATTGATCCGCATTTTATGCGCCTGAACCACAAGAAATTTTCTTCTGACCCGATGGCTTTCGGTGTTCTGCAAGTTGTAATTTTTCTCCGTTTTTTCTTTTCTACACTTGCTAAACAATGCCTCATTTCTTTTATATTTATTGGCTGCAAATACGCGGACGATGTCGCTTTAGTATGAGAAGCACCCACTTTTGAAGGAGCTTGACCAATTCAAAGCAAGATAGCCTATGTGGTGCATTGGTCGTTATCTCGTTCTCTTTCGTTAAATGCCCCAAAAATTCAGGATATTGTGTTTTCCGTGTTGGCTGGGGAACCATATTCAGCCGTCACAAATAGGTTTTCTTTTCTTTCTGCTAATTACGAACCCATACCGACATCAACAATGGTAAAATATCTTGCCGTCACACTATCACACAAATTATTACGGTTCCCAAACATTCCACAAAGTTAGAAACTGTTATATTTCTCACTCGGATTTAGAATACTTTTCGCTACCCACAAGTCGATTGTTAGATTTGTAAATGCATGCGACTTACCTCACTGGTTGTACTGCGCTCCAGTGATTTTCCTCCGTCTCCTGGAACCAGACGTCTACTTAATGGTAAGATCCCTAAAATACATCTCTAAATGAAGTGGTATCGCTACAGATAGATTTGCAGACTCTATGGTGGACAGACACCTACAAGCGTCTAAAAATTTTAATTCGAAAATACCCTCAGACAAACATCATCCATCACACAACTTTCGAATATTGTATCTACGCGATCGAAATGCTCAAGGTTCAAATTGTTATTTGCACGTACCTCATCATATCGTAATTCTGCTTTACCATACATGGCATGTCTACGTGTTGATAAGGAGGTTTCTACAGAATTACGTAGCTACTTGATTCATGGACAAAACCAATATCTTTTCATTTCAATTTCACATTGTATGATTTTGTAAATTTGCATCCTCAAACATGGTACAAGATGTTCAAATTGGCCCGTCCGGGTGCATAAAGCTGCTACTGACGTGACTTGAGATGATATTTTTGTACCAGGGAATAGTTTTACTGAAACTGCAGCGGAGACCGAGCTGGATTGAAAAGTTCACCAAAGCAGTAGGACAAAAATTAGACACGTCAACAACAAAAATCATTCTGACTGCGGACGAGGACTTTGAAAACAGTATCCCCATGTGAGCAGAGATGCTGCAGAAAAGGTCTCAGTCCTCAAGTACCCGGATCCACCATGCCATCGCAATTAACAGAAGATCACAGACGAGATCTGTATTCACAGTGGCGAAGCTAGAATAGCCTTCCAACAATCTCAGAGGTCACTGATGATCCGTAGGGAAATAAACCTTCGCACCAAAATGTGCATCCAATGAGCAGTCATGTATCCTCACAAACGGCTGTAAAAACAGTCAACCAATCTTCGACCAATAGCGCCTAAACACCACAGTAAAAGAAAGATTAGTGAACCGAATCGCTCAAAGCTAACGTTGTGATTCGGTTTTACTCGCACAAGACCGTACATCGAACTACGGAAGATAAGCCTTGTTCCGGCGATATGCTCTTACGAGCAGATATCGCCACGGTGACTAGATAAAAATCTGGTTTTCCACAGTGTATGTTGATATGGAGCGAACAGATCTGTGAGTAGTGCAGTGTTCCGATCTAGACTCTCCATCGGATCGATATCTCCACCGATCTGGCCTCAGATTGCTACGAAAAAATAGTCATTAAAAGAAACGTCCATGAAGCTGGCATATGCTCATTCCCTATAAATCAAAACTAATATGATTGGTTATTTTTTTAATTAGACAAAAACCGCCTTAAATGACTAGCGAAATACTATGAGGAGTTTAGTTTGCGTTCCGGACTGGAAACGCGGGATATTGTTATCAACGCATTTCACGACCCCCGAGAACAAGATCAAGAAAACATATGGGAGAACAGATGAAACAGATACCAACCTGAATGGGTTCTTTCATCGCGAAAATAGGGGTCAGTCGTGGAAGCATGTACTGCACAAACTCTGCCTGAGTGACCATCTCCATGATGAGTAACACCGGTGGGAGGATAAATGGGACCATATGAGGATTAGAGAAATCTTCCGTGATCTGCGGAAATACTCGATACAGACAGAGTCGCTGTAAGGAAGGGCATGGGGCAGTGGGGAAAAGAGATTTGATAATCGTTAATCATTTTATTATTAGTTATTATTCATAAATTAAATGACGGAACAATGCAGCCCACCTAATACGAAGTCTCGAACTAGGCTTTAAGACGTTCAGCGGCTATTATTATTAAGAACTTATCATTGATTAGATCCGTAGCAGTAGCCAGAAGAACCAATGAACAGTTACAAATTCGGACTTCCAATCAGAATAAATCATCGCCGTCGATCTAAAGATAAGGGTAATGGTCATATTCTGAAGAGTAATCTCTCTCTCGCTCTGAAAGTAAGAGGTTTCGATCACTCTGAGCAAGTGCGGGGAAGGAGTAAACTTTGGGGGTGAATATTGGAGCACGTGGGATAGAAGTTCGATGAGAAAAGGTTTAGTTAGTTTGGAGCATTTTTTTAATCAGTCACACTGGATATGTCAATATGTCAATCAGTGACCGTCAGGTTCTAGCAGAACCAAACACTTTCAAAATACCATCCGGGGTTTAGACTGGTAGAGATCAATCAAACCTGAAAAGCAAACAGAGGTGTACATAAACGAAACAAAGCGAACATTCTCCAAGACTGTGGTGTACTTAGGACCAATTGTCGACCCGGAAGATAAGAAATACCTCGTTGCCATGAGGAAGTGAAAGTGTTGCACTCATGCTCTCCAGCGAACAACAATTTATGTTGGTGCTAGAGTAGATGGCTTGAAGGACGGATGTACGTGATCGACCGGTAGAGTTTGAAAGCAGCCGATTGTTTCAAGTATCAAAATTTGTTCTAAATTAACTTGGGTGTACTCATTTCACTCACCCGAGGTCAGTCTGAGTTCATCAGTGTTTAGCAGCGCAACATAGTTGACTGGACAAAGTGATCTACCCGAGTGGATTGCATTTGTATCGATTTTATTTTAGTCTTCTGAGTGCATGATAGCATGACAAGTGAGGTGTGTCTTGTAGACATCATGCGACACTGTTTGCACGTCCGTCTGTACAACAAATCCCTCAGGAAAATTGGTAGCAAAGCATCCGGTAACTTTAAACTCCAGAATATGACATGAGAACACATGTTTAGAGACAAACCAACGTTTGTTCCATGCATTACGACTTTAAAGAACGTTCATTTATCATAGTACCCTGTGAAACTGGAAGATTGCTGAGCACCGTTGCACCTGTGAACAATGTCGATTGGATTGGATTGAGAAAGTTTCGAAGGAAGAGCTGTTCGATAAGCCGGCATTTAAGGAGACGATCAATGGGAGTGCGCGATGCAGCCAATGTGAGATGCGTATTCACCGGTTCACTAAAAATGAGAGAATACACTAACCAGTTCATTTACGCTAGCCTCCTCTACGGTTATTTATTCCACCACCAACCGAGGGCTGCGCATCAAGATGAAGATCTGAAGATGGTCAATCAAAATAAGTAACAGTTAACTCACACCCTACCACTCATAAATGACTAAGTTAAGTGTGATATGGCAAGCACAGATGCTGAAAGTGAAGTTTAAATGTGCGAGTACAGAATGCGGACCAATATTCAGTTGTGACCGAACAAATGGGAAAAATATGACACTGGAATCACTTAATCGATCTCTGTACTTTTAGTTTTTTAATCGTCTATGAAAATGACGGACATGTATAAGAGCACTGACTAGTGGACTAGACTGAGTAAACTATGCTACAGGGCCCCCACCCAAATTAAAGGTGAAACGTCTAGACTGCCCAGCTGGGTACGGCGCATTGTTTCGCATTTGATATCCGCATTACATGCATGCATTTAAAAGTCGGAAATGCCCATTTTATCGATTTTCCAAATCAGTTGTGCAGCAGTTATGTAACCGGAATCAGAGTACCGTTGTTGGATGTTATCAGTTGAATAATCCGAACGGAGTTACACGTCCTATTCAGCACATTGACAACCCAGCCCTTACCCTCTAAACCCAATAAATGGGTTGGGTTGATATTTTTAAGGTCACCCCTTCATCCTGACCGCCCAGCCATCTCTGCAACTGCTACCCATTTTTACTTTACACATAAGTCGATTCTTACTTTGGGCAAAAGATGAATGGTGGACGGTAACGATTTGTAGAATTGAGATCGCGCCAAATTGTCCAGTTGATACATGTTGTCAATACTTCGCAGGACTGACATGGATCCGTCCTCGAAGTAGGGGATCTATAGTGAAGAAAAACAAAAATCTCATTTAGAATATTTTAACTGTGATTGGGAAAAGCTTGCCAATATAAAAGTGGATGCTATTAGCACCATATTTAACAACCACGTGACATGCTATTACTGCACACAGAGAAACGAAACTGAATGAGAAAGTAAGGAGTGATAAAATAGAGAGTGGCTTCTGGTTGTTACTTCATATCGTACCCGTTTGTCTTTTGCATTGCTTGTTCATTGAGCAACTGGGTCCAAGAATTCACGGTAAACTGAAGCCATATTCAAATCACTGGTTTTCATTTTGGAATTTCTAGACAGCACAATTCATCAACCCTCGGATACCAACCGCATAGCTGAGAACGACTAACTGGGGCCAATACTTCTTCACAGCTCAACACCAAGGCATGGACGAACTGCTGTTACGTTCCGCCCAGACATGCCCAGGAATCCCAAACAGCGATCGGCGTGGGAGGCAATGCACAGGCGTGCATAGATGTAAACGCTATATAAGAGTCGAGGCACTATAATCACTTCGATTAGTGGAGGATTAACTGTACCTCATATTCATTGCCGAACCTCGTCACAATGCAAGTAATGTTACGACCAGACGTGGGCGATGCTTTGGAGATAGCCATGAATAAATACCGAAAGGCATCGAGCATCCGTATCAGTTTCATCATCACCATTGAAGCAGTGCAAAAAAATACAGCGATAGAAACGTCTCTGACTGTTGCCAAATGTATCGTGTAACCGATAACTCATGGACCATGAAATGGTCTTACTTTAGAGGAAACACTTGTAAGGTAACTTCAGTCCAGCTTTGAAGCACAAACACGAACGCGCACAAAGTCTTCACCCGTTCTATTCACAAGCGTGTACATCTACGCGGGGCTTTCCTATAAACTCTGTGAGAAACGTGAAGGAAAACTGGCCAACGTATAGCACAATATGCATGACCTTTGGATACCATATGAATGCCGTCTGTGGTTTAATACACCGTAAGCTGCCAGAATTTTGGTCTTTTCTTCTCATAGACATCACAACTGTGAATGTGGTACTAGAGTGAATTTCATAAAAATTTCATGAGTGGCACCCGGGTAATGTGACCTCTGCATTCAGTATATTAAATATCGAAACAATCAATGATTCGGTCAAAAAAGAGCGCATACGTGCATTATCCTAAATGCCATGCAACGTCGTTACCCAAGCCCAAGTCCGTTCTGACCAATCCCATCGCCACTAATTGTATGCATAAGCTACCAATCAAACCTTGACATTACCGATTCAGAACCGACAGTGCCATGCGTAACTAATGCATTCCTTACTGGTACACGCATGCGCAGTTCATATGTGCCTGGTTGGGTATCATCATTTCTTGTCATTTATCCGATTCACTGGTTTGCAAAATTTCAACTCACTCGTGAGAACTGCAAAGCATCCGGCCGAATGGCTTGATCGCTAGAAAGCATCATCTTCACGTACTCACGCAAACGTTCCGGGATGACAGTCAATTTTGAAAAGCTTGTCGCAGCAATCTAGAATGAAAGAGTTAACACGGAATATCAGCATATTACCTACTGAGTTAGATGCGACCAAAAAGGAACCAACTATTTCATCAACACATGAAGACATATGTGGACAGAATGGATAATGACCATCAATTTCACGTGCT